CCCCCCCCCCCCCCAATTTGAAGCTTTCGCTGCATCTTGGAAAAACCAGCCCCATGCATTATGGACAACACTGAACCAAATTTGCATTGGTTGTGATTGATGTGCAGAAGCCCTCTGTAAGTGGAACAAAATACCGTCACCAAATTGTGATTGTGGGGCCGAAAAACAAACGATCCAACACATAGTGACAGAGTGTCAAAACAGAGCCTATAATGGAGATTTCACTGATTTCCTGTCTGCGACAAATGAAGTAAAAAATTATATTTGCAACTTAGATTCACGTTTGTAAGCTTCCTGTTAGGAGTTCAGATTTTATATTCTGTTTTGTATTTTACCCGTGTTGCTTTTACTGAAATATGATATGAATGTGCCATATGATAGATAGCTAGATAGACAAATATAATAAATAAATATCCAGTGTTCTTTTTTATCAACGCATGTCCAAATTTCAAGAAACAGAAGACGAAAATGACAGGCAGAAAGATGCTGCAGTCACTGACCAAGTCAAAACCAAAAACATATTCTGAGCAGCAAATAAAAAACACAGAAAAGCATAATAAATAGCCTACATTTTGGTGTGGCCAAAACACCAAAACAAAACTTAGCCATGTTCAGAGAAATAAAATCACATTAATCAGACAGTTACAACTTTAAATAAACTGAATCTGTATAACCTTGAAATCAGACTAGATGGGGATTTGTTAACTGACAGAATAACAGAATAATAAAGTTGGTAGGGTTCTTGGAGGTCATCTAGTCCAACCTCCTGCTCAGGCAGGAAACCCTATACCATTTCAGACAAATGGCTGTCCAGTCTCTTAAAAACTTTCAGTGTTGGAGTACCCACAACTTCTGGAGGCAAGTTGTTCCACTGATTGATTGTTCTAACTGTCAGGAAATTTCTCCTTAGTTCTAGGTTGCTTCTCTTCTTGTTAACTGCATTCAGGCATCTTTATAATAAGGGTAGTACATAGTAAAATGTGCGTTAATGTTTCAGGAACTCCTTTCCCACAATATGATACTCTGTAATTTCCATTCAAAAATTGTGGTTGGAACATTAAATCTTGCCAGGGTTAGGGTTCTTCTGAATACATACAGTTAAGATGTAAAATCTCATAATTACCAGGCAAATCAGTGACATTTTTTATAAATTGAAAGTAAATGCTTATATTTGCTAGTAATCTGCAAATATTTATATTTCAGAAATGGGTAGAAATCTTTTTTGCAACCAGAGCCTGTTTCTTTTACGGCATCTGAGAATTGCAGAAGGGATGGTGTTGTTATCCCCACAGAGGGTGGACTGAAATGTTCAGTCTATTTGGGTGGTAAGATTGGAGAGATTTAGTTAACTTTATTCAGTTAATGAAGATGCAGCAGTTAATGTAAAGAAAAGCACTGAGATTAGCAGAGGATAACCTACTTTCAGCCTTTTTTTTAAAAAAAAAAGATGACTCATGCTACGGAAAATCGACAACTAGTTGGCATGTTTTAGGAGCACTTCTCCTTTGACCACAGATATGGGTCTGGGGAGATCATATACTGACAATAGCTTACCCGGTCCAGATTCCCATTAAAAATAATTACTTGAATCTTATCAATCCAGGAAGTAAAAAAAAAAGAAAAAGAAGCAGGCAAGTTGCATACTGAAGGTGTCTATGAAGTCACTAAGAGCTGAGCTTAACTCAAATCAGACTACCTTTCTGTCTAGCTTAAAAGATCATTGCATTTGGAGACTTATTGGATAATAAATTTATATCTGATTATTTAAAATTAACCTAGTTGTTCTTTAAGAGAGATTTAATGTTTGAAAGACCTGATACAAGAAGTTCTTGACTTAGGGTTAACAATTGTTCAGTTACAATTGACTCTTAAAAGGTACAGTACATACGACTGTCCTCGAAGTTATGACTGCGCCCCCATGGTCATGGGATTGCATTTCGAATGCTTAGCAACCAGCTCACAATTATGATCAGCTGCAGTATACTGCAGTCATATGATTGGGATTTGGGA